CATATCTTCATTCTGTTGTAATCTACATCCCAGCCCGTTTTCCATTCATTCCTCATAAGGTCTGTTACTCACCTTCACTTTGTTGCATTTTGATAAAGCCTTGATTCTGCAGTTCTTAAGTTAGCTCAATCTTTGCCTCCTTCCTTCCTGAAGTTCACTGGAAGAACTTTACTCTTTTCTAATATGTGCACTTGACCTACTGTATTAGTTTTATAAGTTTTATGGAGAAAGAAAAACAGTGTTTCTTCTATTTAAACTGTCATTTTGTAATTATATTTGTACTATTTTTTCATTTTAGAACTTGCTTGTACACATTACTTTATTTCTGTCCAGCTGATTACATAATTTTAAAATATTAAATCAAATTTTATGAGTTACTTAAGAAGTCTTTTTTACTCTTGTAATTTCTCAGTAAGAAACATGTTGCACAAGTAATGTCACTCTTTCTTGAGTTAAATCACCTCTGACTGTAACAACAAAACACACCTACTTTATTGACTTTCTTTGTATTGTTTAGCATCAGAACTTTGTTACCAAAGGTCAATTTGTGATTGATTATTCATGTTTTTAGAGCCAACAATATGACAGAGCTAAACAATGTTGCAGCATTCTTCCCATATGATGGACTGGAGAGCAACACAAAGTGGCCTTTCCCCTGTTCTGTATTCTGTCTCTGCTTGCTCTCTAAACTTTGCTCGCATGGCTGATTTTGTACAACCTTGCTCTTACCTTTTGTAACTCAAGCTCCCTTTTGCCTCCTCTGAGAGTATTCAGCTCATCTTATCTGAACTCTGACAACTATAAACATAGACCACAGAAATGGATCAGAAGAATAGGTCACTGATTGAACTGGGATTTGCAATCAGACAGAAGCTGGACCTGTTCTTGATGTTACTACTCTACTGTACCTTCAGAGGCAGGGAGTATTTTGTTTCCACATATTTTCACATATTTAGAGATTGAACTGAATGAAATGCTTAAGCGGGGTGGACATGTAGCCCACTGTGTTGAATTTTGCTCTATAATATATTTTCAAACAAGATAAGAAATTGTGTTTCTAAAGCTGCTCTTGGTTGTCAGGGGAACATTTCTCAATATATAGTGTTGTATTCTCTGAAAAGGTATGCTGGCTATTTGCATAAAATATAGATCCACATTAGAGTCAAAGCCCAGATACTTTACTGTGTGGCATTTGTTGATTGTTCATCTGCCTAAGCAAGGAGGCTTTGTCCTTATTGCTATGCCTTAATCAATTATCAACATCAAACCCTAAATTGTGTTAACTTTCAAATAATGAATAGCTTCAAGAGATACTAGAGTTGTTTTCTTTTTGGTTTGTTTCATAAGAAGACCAACAAATTTGTGCAGGACAATTGTCTCTCCTCTCCAATCTTTTCATCCATCAGTCTCCCATTACGAATTGTTCTTATATTTTGATTTTTGAGGCAGTATAAAATCTCACATAAGAACACTACTGAAAACACTATGAAAAAAAAAAAAAATACAAATATTTCTGTAATTAAATTGGAATGTGTATTTTTTTATAAAGTTGGTGGAAGTTATACTTTGCATTTACTTTGTGAATAAATATTGATTTGATATTTGACATTTGTTCTACGAATGAAAAGTGTGGTATGCATTTGTTTTGTGCTGCCTAAACTCTGAAGAAATAAAATAAATTCATTGCACACAATTGCCTCCAGAGCTCACAACAGAGGTGGCAGACTAAGAAACATTTTTCAGATAAATATGCTATATTTCCTGGTCTAACAATCTAACCATGCTTTAGTTAGATTACATGCAGGCCACTTATTAACATGGATGACTTTCCACCCTCTTTGTGTGGCAATTGACTGTACTTTAAATAAAGCATCACCTTAACAGTAATGGGTGACTGATGGAGCCATAAATTAAATCCTGACGGAAGTAATAGAAGCCTTAAGGGGTCATTTTCCTAAGGATCAACTGGTTTAAATAGTCTATTTCCACAATAAAGTCAATAATCGTCTGAAAAAAATGCTGGTTACATTTATGTGGAATTCCTTTGACATTAATGTTTTTGTGACAACACAAGAAAAAGCAACAAAGTTCAGTGGGAGGTGAAATTTAGTGCATCCTGCAGAGATGATTGCTTAAGTGAAATCAGGCGTGTAAGAAAATGTGGAATAAATGTTGGGGAGAATGAGGAGAGGAGCTGAGGGACAACATCTGAAGAAGGACACAGAAACTATGTAAACACTGCAGTGATGAAGAAGAAAGCACAAGAATAAATTGATCTATGACAAATCACAAGCAAGCACTGAATCACAGCTTAAGATCAAAACATAAGAATAGAAACAGAAGATGAGCAATGCAAAAATTCAAGCCCAACAATCTTGTAAATTTTAGCATATCTTATGCATTTCATTAAATCACTTTATAGGGGAAATGAAGAGCAGCTACAGTGAGCTGTAAGATCATCAACAAACGTATCCAATTCAGTTCATATATCATCTCAGGACATTAAAAAAACATTTCAGTTCAATCATTCATACATTCCAATTGAGCCTAGTGATCAAATAGTACAGGAATCTAAAAAATACTTAAATATAATGTGTAAAATGAGGGAGACGTGTTTGTTACTGGTTATGAAGTACAAAATAGTAAAAAAGAAAACATCATCTTCACATTTAAGTCTGTAATGCCTGGCCTTTTAATTGAGAGACAAATGTGTTCTTGGACTTTATAGTAGTATCACAAAAGGCATGTAAATGAAGATATAAATTATAGATTAGTGGTCGAGATGTGGGAGGAATAATAAAGTGGATAATAGAGGTGCTGTATCATTCTCCAATACTGACTTCAGGTGGAGCAAAACTATTAAGATCACAGATTTACTCCCCCGTTGAACAGACAAGCCATGCCCTCATTTGAATTTCCATCGTTTAGCTTGCTCCGTCACCCACAGCGACTCTGAGTGGGCAGGTAGTGGGTTAGTGTCCTGTTCAAGGACAGGTGGCTGTTAGCAGGCGTGCTTGGCTGTCGAGAAGATCAGACCTGTGACCTTCCATTACACAACGTTTCGTTTATCTAAACACACCTCATCCATGTTGCCACAACCCTTAAACACCACTTAGCATTAAAGCAAGGCCGAGCATGGTTTATTTTTTAATGAATACTGAAATGCGTTAAAAACTGCTGTGGAAAGAACTGTAATTTCACAATTTACAATGAAAATTACATTTCATTACTCCTCTGGTCATTGTTAAAAGACAACCAATAAATCCAAAGAAAATAGTCAATGAAAAAGCAAGCAAAAGGCCAATGGCTTTTCACTTGACATCATTTCTCACACATGATGCATCCATATGCCTGAAATAAAAAAAATGGGCCTGATAAAGGTCGTAAACCACCATGATGGCAGCTGTCAGCTGACCCACAGCTGGAAGCAAGATCTATTCATAACTGCGAGGGGGGAAAAAGGAGAAATTGACTGTGATTATCTTCAGTTGTCATTACATAGTCGAATGAAAAGTGAAGACGCACACAGCATGGGAAACCAATATTTTTGAGTCGTCAAAAAATGCAATTCGTGAGGCAGCAAGTGAATGACTTCATACTGTAGTGATGAAAGCAGTGTGGTTCCTCTGAGAAAGGATTATCCCTAATTGGCCCAGCTGGATAAACACAAGTATCTGTGTTAGCATGCTGCATCTCAAAGTAAATACCCCAACGTTCTCCTACTTAAAAAACGCAGAAATACAATAGCTTTTACAAAAACAAACTTCTAGTTATTTTAAAGCAATTTTATGGATTAACCAACACATAGTTGAAAAGTTGAAAGAAAATGACACATAAATTCTACTTTAAAGTGTGATGAGTTCAAGTATTCTTTTCCTTTTATTCTGATACTTTGCTACTGAATTAGTGCCCAGAGTCCATCTGCAACAAAATCTCAGAGGTTTCTCAAGTGAACAAAAATTAACAAACATTACAAAGAAGACCAAGAAACGCAAAAAAAGAGAGACAGTACAAAACAACTGCAAACCTACCAAAAAATGTTAATCTTTCTTAACTGCAAGTATGAGCAGAGAAGCCAAAAGACACAGTAACTTTGGAGGAGCAACAAAGATCATCAACTCAAGTGGAATAATCTGCTGACAGCACAACCAAGTCATTGTGTCTCCCTCAACAGATCTGACCTTTATGAAAGAATGACAAAGGCTACGACGCAAGAAGCACTATGGCAAAAAAATGTTAGGAGAAACATTCTTTTAAAAGGCACTGTATCATCTTTCAATCTATTCTGTCTGACTCAAATGTTGCCTTGACATCTAGTCCCAACCCATGTCTTATCTCAGATGTTTTTAGCTCGCATTAATTTTTTTTTTGTTCATTTGCTCTCTCCACACCTGTACCTCCCTTTCTTGCCCCTCATCTGTAGTCTCTGGCCCCATCTCAGTGTCCTGATTCACTGCTCTGCCGGTGGATCAATAGAAAGGCTCTCTGTCAGGAGGAGCTGCTGCCTCCCTCTTCACCTCACTAACTCTCCCCACCAACAGTCACAGCCTTCTGGGAAGCTGGATTTCTACATCCCGTCTCCCTGAAGAGGATTTCCCCTGTCCAATGGCTCACTCTAAATCTCTGCACCTTCCAAGTCAAGAAAGAGAGCGAGAGGAAAAAAAAAATACATGTTGAGGTAACGAGCTTCTTAAAGAGTAAGGAAAGCACCACTTCATCTGGGAACTAAAAAATGAGATTGCCAGAGAAAATAGAATATCAGCGCTAAGCATAATGTGACAAAAAGAAGAGGAGGAAACGGGGTGAGAGAGGGAGAAGTTGTGCATTCAGCTAACCCCCCTCCTCAGTCCGCCTTTCTCCACCCTCTGGAAAAGTCTCTCTCTCTCTCTCTCTCTCTCTCTCTCTCTCTACCTCTTTTCTCTCCGTCTCTCTGCAGCTGTGCTCTGCTGAGCGTCACCTCCACACAGCAAGTGCCTTTACTTCAGCAGAAGAGGGAGAAAGAAGAGGAAGGTGGCTGCGAGCTGCAGAGCAAAAGAAACCTCAGGAGTGCGTCTGCACGCGGCAGAGGAGTGCTTCTCTCCTCATTTCATCCAGAAGGGCTAAGAAGCGCACAGAGACAGGGAAGAGGCGGCTGGGATGGAGTAACGCTGTGCCGGTGCTGCCGACTGGGGACAGGGTAATCCACTGACACTGTTGATCCTGGTGGCTCTGGCAAAAAAAACTTCCAGAGGGAGACAGAGAAGCGGAAAAGCAGCCAGGATCTCGCCAAGGGGGCAGCATTTTACTTCGGAAAACGAAGCGTGGCGACAGCAGAAACGCACACAGAGAGACACTCACAAACAACAGAGTGGAAAAAGGACAGCCAGACACCCACTGCATTTAAACATCTACTACAACCCTGCAGTTTCTTCTGACTTAACCAAGAAAATAGGAAAATGTCTCATGTTGCCTGTGGATGATGAATATTATGGGGAGAAATTTGTCTTCTAAAACAAGATTTTTTTCAAACTTTGCTACTTTTTTTATTTTTTGGAGTTGGGCCTGTAAACCGTCTGAGCACATCGCATATTTCTTCTTAGTTACAGAAACGGAGAGTTTTCTTGAGATGCCTCCTCCTGATTCAGAGTAGAAAGTGGATTATGACGGCAGTACTTTGCCATTTCTACTTTGCACCATAAAGAAAAAAAAATCCATCTACGTGTGCTGGATTTATGTCTCAGAAGGAGAAGATCGCAGGCGTTTTCTCTTCTCCTTTGGATTACCTATGGGTTTTCTCTCATGGATGATTGCTTGCTGCCAGTTATTAAGAAAAAGTATGAAAAGGGGCAAGTGAGTATTGGGCTAGATTTTTTTCCCTCTAAATCTTAAGCTCGAGTCCAAATAATGGATGGCTCTGGTGAAAGCACAATGATGCAGCTTTTGTCTCATCTAATAACACAAATTGAAACCCACTGATTGAACAGTTATGTTTAACAAATGATGATTAAGGTGTAAAAGGTATGCACATCTTGACACCTATTAATTCATTTGAGAAGTTGTCTTGGATGTTTACACACCATTTGCCAATGAGCATAATTTACTAAATGAGGGGTGCTGTCTACCCGGCAGGTGGCTTGGGCACAAATAGAGATTGATTGAAGTGATCTCTGGGAATCCAATTAATGTATCCTGGATTCTTTCCAAGACAGAAGCAATGGAGGGGAAAACCACCATCTAGTTTAAACTGAGAAACCTCTGCACTCCCCAGTCAGCAACTGTCCTCCTCTTTTCCCACCACCTTCAACCCGGGCAAGGATGGTACCCCCACCCCCCACCAACAAGCCCCACGTTTGCCTTTCCACCATTCTTATCATGAGCAGCATGGCATTAATTGATGCCTACCTGGTAGAGCAGAACCATGGACCCCGCAAGATTGGCATCTGCATCATGGTGATGGTGGGAGACATCTGTTTTTTGATTGTGCTCCGATACGTGGCAGTGTGGGTGGGCGCTGAGGTGCGGACTGCCAAACGAGGCTATGCCATGATCCTTTGGTTTCTCTACATCTTTGTGCTCGAGATAAAAGTCTACTTTGTGTATCAGAACTACAAAGCAGACAGGAAGAGCTTGGACGCTCTCGCGAGGAAAGCTTTGACGTTGTTGCTGTCCATTTGCATTCCAGTGCTGTTCATTGTGCTGGTAGCTATCGACCACATGGAGTACGTCAGGGCTTTCAAGAAACGGGAGGAGATTCGCAATCGCCTCTTCTGGGTAGTGGTGGACTTGCTGGACATACTGGACATCCAAGCTAACCTATGGGAGCCTCAGAAGAAAGGGCTTCCTCTGTGGGCAGAAGGCCTCATGTTCTTCTACTGCTACATCCTGCTCCTTGTGCTGCCCTGTGTGTCTTTGAGCGAAATCAGCATGCAGGGCATAAACATTGTCCCCCACAAGATGCTACTGTACCCCATCCTCAGCCTGGTGACCATTAACATTATCACACTTTTTATCCGCGGAGGAAACATGTTTCTGTACAGAGACGCAAGAGTATCCGGGATCCTAATTGGAAAGAACATATTGGCCATCATCCTAAAGACCTGCAGCTTTGTGCAGTACAGAAGACAGTTGCAGAACGCTCCTCCTGCGTTTGGAGTGGAACTGCAGAAAAACTCAGTTGCACAAGCTCGTCCTGCGCCCACTCCACCTCAAGTGGTCATGCAGGACCAGACGCCTCTACCCGAAGTGACAACCTGTGAACACACATGACATAATGCAGGGGGTGAGCCCTACGAAATGTCAATATGAGTAAATGGGACTCTCAGGATGCTGGCAGGGAGCAGTGTTCCACACCTTTTAGGTCGTGTGAACACTCATGTGAACACACGGGAGATCAGGATCCCTGATGCTTAATGGCACACAGGACACTGCAGACAGTGCAGATAGAGCAGTGCTGTCACAGCTGCATTACCGATGACTCAAAGCATTTCCCAAGGTGAATTTAATTACCTGTGTATTTTTTTCTAAATGTACTAAGAAAAAAAGATCTACTGCAAAAACAGAGTATATTTTTGAATTGTGTGTTGCATTCCAATTGAAAACCTAAGGGTCTGTGTGCAGTGGCGTGTTTTTCTGTTTCTCAGTTGTTTCTTAGTAGTCGAGGGCTTTACCTTGTCAAAGTGAAACGAGACCCAATGAGAAAATCAAAGTAATGAGGGTAAAAAAAAAAACAGCAGTGAAAGCCCTGTCTCTTAAAAGAAGTGCGTTTTTATATGTGGCTCTTTGATCAAATACTGTGTAAAAGATAAAGGCTTTTCTGCTTTCTCACTGGCTGTAAGAGGGTTTTGTCATAAAATAATTTTAAAGTTACTGGTCCAATGAGTATATTTTTTTTTAAAGAAATTATTTAGTGGATGCCAAATTTGTGACCAGTGTTAGGAGAAAAATAATGAGATAATCCATTCTGTCCAGGTGAGAAGCTTACATCCATCCATGAGGGACTCAAATGTAATTATAGCTTCTTAGTCATAAATTTGAATTTGTTCTTTTTCCAGTGTGAGATGATTGAACAACTAACTACCGTAAAAAGTTAGAACTGGTTGCACAAATTTGAGTGTAACATACATATTTTCTAGTTTACAGAATCTAAATTATGCATAATATTCGGACAGATTTCCATTAGCAAACTGTATATTAAACAGAGACAACACACTTACAAAAAAGACGCATATTAAGGTACTTTTTGTATCTGAACTATTAAGATTTCTTGAGAGGGCCTGAAGAAATCGTGGGTTTTATATATATTCACTTGTGACTATGCTCCTTAACCTCGATACATACCAGTGGTTCACTGTATAGTTTGTGCTTCTTTATGAAGGTCATGCAAAAGTGCATCAAGCAAATCACATTGACATGCAGCTTCTTGTTAGTAGCGTTGATGTCCTTCAAAAAAACACCTTGTGCTAAAACATCACTTATGACCATAAATATTAACACAGTGTACAGAGTGTGATGCTCCGCACATGCAGGTCACTTCTGTGCCACAGGTTGTTCAAACTGGCATCTTAACAACAAAAAAAATTGTCTCATCAAAATATTTAATTAATCAACACCTGACCAATTGAAATAAGTTGAATTGGTTGGATATCCAAACAAATTAAAGCAAGAAGTCTGTTGATCATTTCCAAAAGTCTGTGGTCAAGGTGCAACTTTCCTACAGACATTTAAATAAACATTAGCGGGGTGTATGAATATATTTGAGCCTGAACGGTGAATTTTAACATGGAAAAAAACAAAGCAAATATACATTTACACTTTTGCTTAATCATTTCACTCTGAAAAAGAACAATTGCAACACGTAAAGTTTTCTTTCACAAATGTAAATTGTCTTTGAGTTTTATATTTTGCAGGGTAATTTCTGATAACGGAAACATTTAGGTTTAACTCTGTGTATGCTATGAACAGTTTGATCAATGCAAATAATGACCATATTGCCATTTCTTTGAGATTAAATGCATTGCCAAGAAACACCGCCGCAGGAGGGTAAATGAATCCTAAATAAGAAAGCCTGTTTAATATCCACCTCAGGCTCCCAGTGACTATCTGAGCTTGTGCTTAGTGCCAACAGCGGTTGTAAGCACTGTCATTCTGTTCCTCGCACAAAAGGACAAAATAGATACTTTGGTGAAGTGATGTGAATCCACAAAAAACAGCCAAGCACACGTCTTGTCTTGATATGACAAATCTAGCTCTTTCACAAGCTCTTTTCCCACCCACACCACCAGTTGAGTCAGAGCTGAAGTTTTTGACTGTTTGTTTGCCTTCTCTGAATACATTTTACTCAAAAGGAATTTTTATTATTCTCTAGCAAAACTGCAGACACAAAAGAAGCAAAGTTTTGGTCATCAACAGTACTATTTTGCCTGGATGGTTCAGATCTGGACTTGGATTAATTTCTCTCACCTGTGGCTGTGTGTGTAATTTAAAGCACAGTCTTTGCTAAAACCCTGAGAGTGCAGGAGATGATCTAACATTTCCATCTGTGCAAGGCTCAGCTACAGAAAGGTGGCAACAATAAGTGGCACAAACCAGGATTTCACATTAAGACTGCCGTAGTCAGCACTACTTGTCGGTGTTGTTGGCTTGTAAAGATACAACATCAGCAATTTAGCCACTATAATGCACTACTGGATAATATCGTTTATACAAAACTGCTGCAATGAAATAAAAACATTCCTCTTTTAAAATAATGGTATATTAAAACAATGTGATATGTTCTGCTGAATTTATCAACCCTGCACATTTAAACACTGCAAGGATTTAAAACCATAATGTTTATAGTGTTTTTACAAGGGACAGAAACAGATGCGCTACACAAATGTAACTGACATTAATGTGAACATGACAATTAGCAATGATAATTTTCCTGAAGTACATCTGTACAAATGTCACAGAAAAAAAAGATTTAAGATAAAGAGATGTATTTTAAAAAAACCTAACTGCTAAAGCTCAACTTAACTGAAACTGATGTGTTTAGTATATTGTTTTATATTCATAACATGAGGAAATCTTGCACTAATTAAGAAAATTTAACGCATGGAGATCCAAGCTGCAGCCCAGGCATCAATTACAATTACAGCACGTTTTGCTCACTAGCACATGCAGTTGATTCATCGACACATAGAAACGATGCTGGAGTGAAATTTTTATTGACCGATTCAAATCTGCCTAAAACTGAAAATGTTCAGTACGTGGCAAAATATTTCTTTTATTAACCATGTGTTTTTGCTTTAATCTCTTAAAGTAGAATCATAAACATCTAGTGACATTTAGTCAAAATCAAACTTCCCAGTTATAAAACTTGGGGAAATACATAACGATTTCTCAGTGACTCATATATTGTCCTTGTTGACAGAAACAAAACCTGAAAACTATATTTCAATTTACTGAAAGATCTTTCTAAGGTTCCAGATCTGCAATGTTTCCAACAACAACAAAAAAAAAAAACATCACACCGCTTTGATTGTTTAACAAAATAATACACTAGTTTATCATAATGCATTAAAATTGCTTTGATATTTGATTTTTAAATATAATTTAATATTTTTTGTTGCCTGTGAGTCTTTTTTCCCATCCTCCATCCTTTTACCTGGGAATCTCTTTGATAGTAGAACATATTTACATTTTAACTAAAGCATGAAAAAGTTGTTGCTTCCTGGATGTGAAATTTGGACAGTGCATGGACATTGCATTATTGGTGGCAAAATTTGTTCATTTCAACTTCTTGTTGAGATTTTTGAAGTTGGAGAGCTGTTATCGTTAATGTTCCTGGTTAAATCTATATGATGCCCTTAAGTACTGGGTTCATTAAGCACCTGCAAATACTTCTACAAGCAGGAATCATCCATGTTCTGACTAACTTTAGATTTCATACTGCAGGCTTAGTCTGGTGTGTTGGTGACACATAAGCTTCATCAATAGATTAGCAGATGCACGTAAATCTTGAAAACAGAAAAATTAATGCCCCTCGTGTATTTATAGGTAGCTTGGGAAAAGATCGAGATGCTTTGGATAACTCACAGAGGAATAAAAAGACTGCATTTTGAGTGGTTCAGGGAAAAATGAGCGGAGAAAAGGAGCGTTGTCAAAACTGATGATTGGATTGAGAACTGACAGAGCTGGAAAGTGGAACTGAAAGAAATAGAGTTGCTGGAATAACTCAGTTTGATCAAACGGCAAAACAAACGAACAAAGTAAAATCGTTCACATTGACATAGTTTATAAAAGCACACTATAAAAATGTAAGACTGCAATGTTTGGATTCTGCTGCATGAAAAATAGATTTTTTTTGGTTTTAGTCCCAAAATAAGATTTCCATTTTGTCTATGCATCTGTTCGTTTCATTTTACTTGTGACTTGGGGTTTGAGTAGTACATCATCAGCATGTGATATATGTAAACTAGATACATTTTAAAACATCATACTAGAGACTCATGCTGTTTTTAATTTCCAGTTAGCTTTAAATTTATAGTCTAGCAAGACTGGTGATATTTCTCAGTATATTGATATTTGTGACAAAAATGTTCTTTAAATATGTAAAAAAAAAAAACTAAAATAAAAATGGTGAGCACTACTTCTACCTAGAAATGAAAGATTGGGTTTATTCCTCATATTAAATAATGAGCAAGGAATAGGCCCTCAAATAAGATTAGCAATAGTGTAACACATTTTTCCTCAAGTAAAAGTAATAAGTAGCTTTCCAAGAAATTACCCTCAAATAAAAAAATATGTATTTCATAAAAAGACTACTCAAAAACTGAGAAAGTGATCATAAAATCTGATTAAATATTTTAAAATGATGTCAAACAGACAAAATATAAAGTTACCAAAACATAAATTTAATCTAAGGGACACAGCAAGCCTGTAGAGGGAGGTTCTCTGGTTATATGAGATCAAAACTTTTTATTTTTTTGGTTAAATGTAAAATAGTACTTATGAAATACAATACTGCATTTTAAGCCAAATACACCAATGTAACAGTAAAACATGATTGTGGCAGCATCATACTGTGGGTTTACTTTTTTTCCAAGTCATAGCAAATGGAGTTTAATACAGAGCAAGGCTGGTTTAAAATCTGTGAAAGGCTGCCAAAGACATGAGCCTAGGAGGTTAATCTTAAATCAAATAGTCTAGATAATGGCCTAGTTAAAGTCTAATTATCCAATTAAGAATCTGAGGAAAAACTTGAAAATTCCTGAAGACACACCCCATTAAAAGTGTTTCTACAAAGAGGGCTGATTATATATCAATTAAAAAGAAACAAAACTATGTATTGTTTTCTTTCAGTGAATAATTTAGCAAGTCACAATTCATTTTTGTTAGTCAGCATTTCCCTAAATATATATATTTTTACATCAAATTAGATTTCGACAGGAGGAAGATAAATGCTTCAAATAATTTCAGAAGTAGCTCAAACTTTTCTGTACTTTGGTGCAATGACTTCCCAACAGGTTCTTCAGACATCTCTTCCCCTCTCACATGTAATAAATTGGAAAGCCTTTCTATCCACATCTACGATATGAACACTGACAGAATTGCCTGAGACAAACCAGCAAGACAAGCGGTGCCTGTAAATTCACAGCTTGACCTTCGGCAGTCTTAAACGGCAACAGAGTCGAGTCACAAATGTATTTTTCAGAGAAGGCATGTTAGAAGGTGACGAGAACAAACCAGCAGAGAAAATGAATCCTCATCAAGTATTGATTCTCCTGTCTGGAGGAAAACTGATAAGATTTGAAACAACCATCATCTATAAAAAAAAATACCATACTTTTTTGACAGTGCAGCGGGAGGTCTTTGATGCCGCTGAGATGTGTGTGCCTAAAGATCATCTTTACTGGAGTATCCTAAAACTCAGCATGAGTTGGGACTTTACAAAGTTTTAGACTCCTTATTCTTAAACCGAGATGCCCATGTGCAGGAGTGAAGCAAATAAAAGTGATGTTTCTCTGCACAGTTCATCTAATTCATTCTAAATTTGTTTGCATGCACATACTCCAAATACACATCAGCTCTGAGCAACATCGTTTTACTGTTTGCTGAAAAGAGGCAATTATCTGTTCTATAGTCAAAATACTTCTGCAATTAATCTTTATCTTAGCGCTCTTAATCACCAAATTACAGCCTGGATAATTATGAAACAGCTTCCACTCACATCCAGCCATGCATGTTTTCATTTCATGCCCCTGCAACACGGAAGATTTTGCTATCGCGCATATGCACAGTTTGTGAGGATTACCAACGGCTATGAAGTATGACCCTGACTGGAGATCCAAGCCTGAGACTCGTAGCTACAATATGATCCTGTTTATAATCAGGTCAGCAGCTCTTAGTCGACACAACGGGAAACCATGGACATCAGAAACGAGAGGCGCCTGCTCACAGTGGTGTTAAGTGTTGTATAAAAATGTGAATTATGAAGAGGTGTTTAAATATTCAAGCAATCCAGCATTTCAACGAGATTTATCATTTAAATCCAAGCAATTCTGCAACTTTTCTCTCAGGTCTTGTTGACCTATAAAAGATTCAGATGGTTTATAAGTCGCTGTGATGCTTACAGGGCATTTTCTCAGGAAGCCATTCATATGTAAACTGTCTGAAATAATATTTTCTCAGTGTAATATCTGTGGAGGAAATAAAATGTATGTAAATACGAAGCTGTGAAAAAAAGGATTTTTCTCCTTTTTGCCACATGTAAATGAAGCACAGTTTAATATGAGATATAAGCTTAGTCAATATAAAATGTGGTTTTATAATACACTTTTCATTTTAATGAAAGAACCTATCCAAATAAACTTCACAATATGTAAAAATGTTATCGCCCTTCTTGATAAATTATGTATTAATTGCGATAATCTGCATTGTCAGTTACACCAGGCACACTCAGGTGGTATTATTTTCTCAAAAAATCATAAAAAAAAACAAAACAAACAACCCGGTCAGACAATTTAAAGTAGGCAAAAAAAAAAAATCTTAAAATAAATAAATTTAAGCAGCACAATTTTTTTTTATCAGTCTGGAAAGGATTGTAAAGCACTTTCTAAAGATTTAGATCTCCAGGAAACTAAGAGCTACTCGCCAATAATGGGAAAGAAGTACCATTTTTATCAAAATTACTCCATGAACAAATAAAGCGATCATCCATGAGTTCACAAAAGGATCCAGAAAAGCATTTAAGCACAGCAGACGTCACTTTCCTCAAGATGATTTTCAGGACTTTCTGGAAAATA